ATATATAGGCATTTTAAACCTTTCCCACACATTGCAATATTTTAAACAATGTTTCTAAACTCTAAATGCTCTAAAAGACACATCATCTCTCTGCCTACGCTGCTCTTTGCCACCTGCAAGCGTTCTTGGCCACGCCCACTCCTCCACTCTGCACGGAGAACAGCTGATCAGCTGCAGCAGGAAGTTTATCCTGCAGTATGGGCTGCACAAAGGTGCAGGAGGCACTAAATAATTTAAAATAATTTATTTTAAATAAAAATTTCAGGCCGATCGCGCGGCTCATCCATCAATCAGCCAGTTGTGTGTCATGTCCAATCTTATTTTGAAAAACCGCAATAAAGAGAGTCCGCGATAAACTTGCCAACACCAAGTACAGATACAAGAACTAATGAGTCTCTTTACACTTGTTAGATTTCAGAACCTCTAAATCTTCATTAATCCGTTCCAACGGGTGATTCTTATGTTATAAATTCATATTTTCTTGTTTTCTCTTCTGCCCAGTCGTTCACTTTAGAGTACCTCCATGTGGCTTCTTCTTTTTCTTCTGGTGTTTAACAAACGACTTTATGGTGCATCACCATCAGCCTGCCTCCATGTGGCTGACGTTGGTCTCCTTCCACTTGCCTTAAAGCAGTAACAATACTGTGGTACCAGAACAGTTTTACAAATAAAAGTATAACTATGTCGCACGAAGACTTGGCGATTGTTTTTACGCCAGATGTCCTTCCTAATGCAACCACCGAGCTACCACAGCCCTCTGTGTGGAGCAGAGAGCTGCATCTAGGGTGCCCGGGGGAATAGATGGTGGAGGTTAAAGCCTTGCTCAAGGGCACAAAGTGGTGCAAATGAGGGTGGAGGCAGGTGTGGGTGCTTCACCTTTCCCACCCACATTTTGTTGTTGTCAATCCGAGGAGTAGAACCGGCGACTTTCCGATCACTGGCTCACCTTCTCTAACCTCTGCGCCACAAATAACTATATTTAGATTTATTTTATTTTTTTAGAGCTTTTACGTTACTTTTTTTTTTTTCTTTATATTTTTCTGATTGAAGGATCTCAGAGCACAGGACGAAGTTCGCCGCCTCCCGGCTACGTGCCTGAGCGCCAGCAGAGGATTGCCCGCCAAGGTTCATACACCAGCATCAACAGTGAGGGCGAGTTCATCCCAGAGACCAGCGATCAGTGCGTGAGTCGCTTTTCAACAACAACAACAAATCCAAGAACAGAGGCGGATTGGTTAACGAGTTCTTTAAAGCTCGAATTGTTTCGTTACCTGAGTAAAAATAAACATAAAAATATTAGTTAACTCTATTAATGCCGACTGTTGTCCAGCACATCAACCTTACCTGAGGCAAAACATTTGGTAAAAGCCAGAAGGAGGCTCTAATCTTTGTCAGTTGCTGTAGTTGCCATGGTTACAGGCGTTAGAGCCTACAGGGAGGGGCTTTGGAAGCAGAGCTGAAGCACAGCAGAGAGGGACATGACTGTAAGTTGTATAGGTTTAAATATTCCAGCAAAACTAAATAAGTTGTGCAGTCTTAACTAAAGTTTCACAGTGTTCAGGACCCCCCCTCCCCCCGCCCCGCACCTCTCAGAAAGTTTTAGTCCGTAAGCAGGTTTCTTTTCCTTTGTGCACAGGTTCTGGATCTCTGGAGCAGTGCAGATAATTCAGTTTCTGGAAGCTGTCAGTCTCTGGACAGCACCTCAGACAGGTGATGCACCACTAAATGCACTTTTTGATTATCTTGCAAATACAGTTTCACAACTAATGTTCGTTCAGTTGGAAAAGGTGCGCGCTGATTTGTGGATATGCCTGAGCAGTCTACGAAAAAAGCTGGTTTGATCTGGGAACTGGTCTAAATACCTTTCACGCCTCTCTCACAGCCCCTCATTGAGGAAGTCCCGGATGCACAGAGCAAAGAGTTACCCGGATAACCGTCAAGAGTTCTCAGGTGGGAGCCAAACATTTCTCACAAACAGGGAAAAATATTGAGCTAAAGCAGCTTCGTATTGGGAGATTGGCTCCGTTAAAACCATCGCAGAGTTTTTCTGAAGGCTTTAAGGTCACCAGGAAGAACATGTTTTGTTGATTTCGGTACAATATTAGACATCATCAGTTATTTGATGAACATTTTATCTTAAGTTTTTATACTAACTGACGTGGAAAATTAATGAAACTGGTTTACGTAAGCAATAAAAGTGCTGACTTGTGAATCTGCTCTCAGACAGAGAGAATCACGTTTATGACAGGATAGCAGGGAAAGGAGGCACCTATCCTCGTAGGTACCATGTTTCCCTGCACTACAAGGACCACAGTGAAGGTAAAAACATCTGCAGTTCATTTACCAGCTGCCATATTTTCCTCTTGTAACATTTTCTCCTAAAACTCGTGTTTTCCTTCAGGTCGTCGGACATTTCCGCGCATCCGTCGCCCCCAGGGGAACCTCTTCACTCTGGTGCCTTCGAGGCGTTTGCTGAACGGCAGCGAGGAGAGTCTGGGCAGCTGGCAGCTGGTCGACACACAAGGCCGGCTGCGTCCGCTCGACCGTTCTGTCCCCCACAAGTGTGAGTCGCAAAGCTCTTATACGCTTGCTTGAAAATATGTCTTTTAAATTGTAATAGCTTTAAGATTATTTTTCACTTCATGCCTTCATTCTGTTTATATAAGAAATTAAAAATCTCAAATAGTTTGAAAAGCTACAGGGAGTTGACGAACAAAGCCAAACTTACACATGGTAGAAGTCTCAGGTGTGGCAGCGAAAACTTTAATTCAGAGGGTCATGCTGACTGATTACGTTTAAAGAAAGATCTCATTGAAAGGAATCTGTTCACCGTATCTTCCGGCATATAAGTTGCAGGTTTTTTTTGCATAGATTTGTCCGTCCTGCGACTTATACGCTGAAGCGACTAATATACTTTTTCTTTTCCATATTCGTAACGCAATTTTTGACTGATGCTTTGAATTTCGAAGAACTGCAACTGAGAGTCCTCCCGTGCACGCTCGCTTCACTCAGCTGGTGCAGGCGAAGGAACGCTGGAGAGCCCGCGGCGGCTGGAGAGCCCGCGGCGGCTCCGGCCGCGATGGACGGAGCGCTGCCCAGGCGAAATGAAGCTGCTTTGTCCATTAAAGTGCATTTATTAAGAAAAAGTTTACCTGAGACACTCCTTTGCTATAATGTCGAGTAAAGAATTAATTGTTTTTTAAGTGTTAATCTTGTTAAATTGCGAAGAACTGCAACAGCGAGTCTTCCTGTGCACGCTCGCTTCACTCAGCTGGTGCAGGCGGAGGAACGCTGGAGAGCTCGTGGCTCCAGTCGCAATGGATGGATGTATGTATGGATGGATGTATGGATGTATGTATGGATGTATGGATGGATGGATGTATGGATGGATGGATGGATGGATGTATGGATGGATGGATGTATGGATGGATGTATGGATGGATGTATTGTTGGATTTGATATATATCTTTTGACAAGCCTTGACATTTCTCTGATGATGTGAAATTATGCATTTTCTACAAGGTGTGTGCGTGTATAATCATACACTAATTACTTCATGTTATATATAATCTTACAAGTGCTGAGGATAATCATACAAGTTCACATTTGATCACACATTGATAAACATAAACAACGCTAAATCACAACATTCATATACTTTATACTTAACACGGGTTGAGTATTTATGCTCTCACATTAATAATAGTTCAGACACACAGAAATCATGTTTTAAAGCTCTATACAGACGAAAGCCAACTACAAGCTGAAGAGTAAGTGTCCTGCGTTCCAAAACAAAGCTCGTAAACGAACCCTTATCAGTAGAAGAATGAGCGAGGCCGTCTGGGGCTTTCGGAGTAACCCTGGAGATGAAATCTGCTCCTGAGTGGCTGAACATGGTGTCACTCGGACTATCAAGAGGTTTTGACATCCAATCACAAGTCTGTCTGAACCCGAAAGGGCGGGACATGACAAACCTATAAATCTCGCTCAGACACAAAGTTTGGTTGAACAAACACGAGGCTGATTGACCAGGCAAGGTTCGCTCTGACTTGTTCCTCAGAATGCACTCTGATTACATGTAATATCTGCATACTTTAACTTTGTCTTAATTAAATCTTTTTTACTAAGGTGAAGTGCTCCTGAAATTCTGTGCTCGGGTCATTTGAACACCCCAAATCCTTCAGTATGTAGATGGATGTATGGATGGATGGATGGATTGATGGATGGATGTGGATGGATGGATGTAGATGTATGTATGTATGTATGTATGTATGTATGGATGTAGATGGATGTATGGATGGATGGATGGATGGATGCGACTTATATGCCAAAGTGACATATATATATTTTTTCCTCTTCGTGATGCTTTTTTTATTTTTGTTCGGCTGATGCAACGGTATATTTAAAAAATAAAAGTGTTGGTTACTTTTCATGCGGTGAATAAAACTTCCAGCTAAATTTGTTTGTGACTTGTTTTTCGTCAGCGCCCAGTGCTCCGGTGACCTGGCGCCGCGGGAAACTTTTAGGTCAGGGAGCATTTGGCCGGGTGTACCTGTGTTACGACGTCGACACCGGGAGAGAACTGGCTGCCAAGCAGGTCCACTTCGATCTCGAAAGCCCTGAGACCAGCAAGGTGAGATAGAAAACTGCACATAAGTGGCACATATCTTTTACTGAGGCTTCAGCTGCAACGACAACAATATCAGACACTGGTTGCACATGTATGCTCAGCTGCTTTTGTTAGGAAATGCCTTTGTAACGTGTAAATAACTTTGTTTAAAACCAGAATTCCTTCTGCGTCCAGTTGAGAAACGTCCATTAAAATCTATTGGTTTGTTTAGACAGCAGATAGTGATGGGCTTTGCCTCAAAATAAAATTCTGCTCCGTCACAAACTTATATTTAAACCCCAGTTAAAAATAGAGTAATCGGTCTACAGGAAAGAAATCTGATCTCAGAACAGGTGGAATGCACTGAAGAGGATTTTTATCCTCCGTCTCCCTCATTAGTCTTTTCCTGTAGAAAAAAAAAACATGCAGTGTCACTTCCTGTATCTTCGAGGTGCTGAGTTATTGTAGCCGTGGTCGAGGGTCAGCTCTGCCTTGACCTGTAGTCACCCCTGCTCCCCCCCCCCCCCCCCCAGCCTGTAGCAGACGTGAATCTGTTGTTTGGGGAGTTTGGGATTACGTTGTGTCTCGCCAACGTCCCCCTCTGTCCCCTGTCTCTGTTGTGGTCTCGCTCTGAGGTAAACACAGGAACTGCTTTCAGCTTTTAGAAACAACTGCAACTATTTGTTTGTGTATTTGCGTACGTCTCGTCTCGGGTGGTTTGTGCACAAAAATGCATTTAGTTAGTTGTTGTTTTTTTGAGTAGTTTTCTATAATCTGTATATTTTTTCTTCTTTTTTTATATACAGGAGGTTAGTGCTTTGGAATGTGAAATCCAGCTCCTGAAAAATCTGCACCATGAGCGCATTGTTCAGTACTACGGCTGTTTGAGGGACCACAGTGAGAAGACCCTCACCATCTTCATGGAGTACATGCCAGGGGTACGTTTCAGCAGCTGACTCATCGACAGTTTGGCCAGCGCTTGGAGCATGGATTGGTTTTGCAAATTAAAGTCTAGAAATCTTTTCCCCAGCTGCAGTTTTAGTGTTTAATCACATTAATTGGAGGTGGGCGACGTCTTTAAATATATTGTGACTCATACACTCATAACTGAGGCGTATTGGACCCTGTTCACACTTGGTTCTTTAATGCATCTTTAGCAAGCCCGCTGCATTTAGAGAGCACTAAATACAAGTCCTGGAGGAGTCTGGGTTTTGTTCACGAGTGAGGGAAGAATGGAGCGTGAGACTGACGGATTGGTGCAGCGTCCGCAGTATTGTGGACTCTGTGCCAGTCCGTTGTGGTGAAGATGGAGCCAAGCTGTAAGGCTCCCGGCTGTTCGCCAGCCGTTCTACGTTCCTACTCTCACCTATGATCACGAACTCTGTTAAGGATGCTTCCTGGGCGCCTCCCTAGGGAGGTGTTTCAGGCATGTCCAACTGGGAGGAGACCCCGGGGAAGACCCAGGCCATGCTGGAGAGACTATGTCTCTCAGTTGGCCTGAGAACATCTTGAGGTCCTCCCAGAAGAGGTGGCTGCAGAAAGAGATGTTTGAGCCTCATCAAGACGAGACTCAAGTCTGAAAGGCCTCGGCGCTCATTGAAAATGTTTTCACTCAGGTAACGTTAGAAGGTGGTCTGAACTAGGGGTTGAACAGACTAGTCGACTAGTCGATCCTTGGACGTCTCGTAAGTTTTTATATTTCACGTCGTCGACCAGTCTCCACCGCCCCCCTGCTGTTCCCAGTCCTATTCCACCCAGTCCACGTGGTGGATTAAATAAGATAAAACTAAAAACAGCGGGGCGGTAGAGCTGTCTTTTCTAACACGGCTGACGATCCAGTTTGGATCACCAGCTGCGCTGACCGGCCGGTTTTTAAAAGACGTACAAAAAAGTCCAGGTGGATCGCTGCCAGCGACCCACCTGAAGCTTACTGACGACCATTAATAACTATAATATTATAATAAGGTGCTCCGCCTCAGTTCCCTCCCACCCAATCCACGGTGGTGGATTAAATAAATAAAATTAAGCCCACCCCAATGTTCGTAGCCTTGTTTTTTACGTGCCGCACGGTTCTTTCACTTTTGCAGCTTAATAATAGTTTTGGTTTTCCTGTGACTTATTTGCAGTATGATAAACGGTAGGAGCATAAATATACCCTGATGTTTTTGTTTTTTTAGTGTAAATAATAAATTACTTTTTTTTTTTAAATATAGCGTCTTGAGATCCTATGACGTCATTGACTAGTCAACATCGACTCAACTTTTATCGTGTTAAAGTTGACTTTAAAAAATACGCAGTCGTTCAACCTCTAGCCTGAACCCCTTTCATCCACATCCACTTGGTAGTCGGGACACAATCCGCCGTGGGCCTCGGTGTAGAACCTCCTACTGGACTTACACCACCTCTCACAAGCAAAAAACATGGATGTCTCAGGCATCTCAGCTGACGGCTAATTGTGATTAAAGAGCCGCCTTTGGAAATATTCTGGAAGTTGTTTATTCTTCTCAGTAAAATGTTTGTTTTGTCTGGATTTAATTAATCAGGGTGGCCTGCAGAAAACAGAGTGCTGAGTTTCTCTTTAGTGTTCGTTCTAATTGTTTTAGAGCTACACTGTGTTCACTGTTCACAGCTTTCTCTACGGTGGAGTTTCATGGGTAAAAACCTTCAACCCTCGTTTATCGCCGGGGGTTACGTTCTGGATCCCCTCCCCCCAACGCAATGAGTGAAAATCTGCAAAGTAGTGACGTTATATTTATTTTAGTATTTATATTTAAGGCTTTATAAACCCGTCCCACACACTTCCAATGTTCTAAACTCTTAAACCTACGTGAGTTTAACAACATATGTATATGTACTGTACAGTACTTCAAAATTTTACTCAGCAGCTCTGCAGAACAGCAGCTCGGTTCCAGTTCTGCAGAGCTACCCTGCTGGTTCTGGTCAGCTCTCTGCAGCCCTTCAGCACCAGAACGCCTGAGGGAGCCAGACCTTCGGACGGCCAGCACGGGACAACACAGTGGTCGAGATAGAGTCATCCACATGAGGTCGTTTCGGTGGGCTCTGGAGAGAACGCCGGACCTCGAGGCGGCAGGCGGTGCTCAAATTCACCGATCAGTCTGGAGGTTCGGTTCCCGGTCGGTTCCGTTCGGTTCTCTGCATCCGCTGGGCGCCGAAGTCACTATGAATAAGGACTGAAATTTTTCAAATCGCATCAAAACTTTCCCTCCATTTCTCAGAAGGCAATGGGGCTTCCTCCGTTGGCTTCTGGGAAATGTAGTCGTTTGGAGTGATGATACAGTTTAGGCTTATTGAGAGGAAACTACAAAAATGTCGGCGCCTGTCCGAACTTTCTTTTTGTCAACTTTTTACTGTGTCCCAATAACGTGAGTAATATTAAAGTTGACAATCGTGTCATGTGCAAATGTTGTTTTCCTCGTGTACAATTTTATTTTGAAAAACCACGAAAGAGCGAGTCTGCAAAAGCCGAAACGCGAAGTATCGAGGGACTACTGCTTCATTCTGTTTCAGGCGTGCTTCATTACCGTACAATCGTGTTAAAGCAGCGTTTGCTTCCTTTCAGGGTTCCGTCAAAGATCAACTGAAGGCCTATGGAGCCCTGACGGAAAATGTGACCCGGAAGTACACGAGACAGATCCTGGAGGGGATGTCCTATCTGCACAGCAACATGATCGTGCACAGAGACATCAAAGGTAGTCCTCTTTAAAAGTTATTCAGACATAATTGAATGTTTAGAAAGCGGTTTGGTTCTGAGATAAGTAGATCGTTGGTAAGATTTAGATCTGCCGTGTCTAAGGTGCCAACATCCTGCGGGACTCGGAGGGAAACGTGAAGCTTGGAGATTTTGGTGCCAGTAAGAGGCTTCAGACCATCTGCATGTCTGGAACTGGGGTCCGCTCCGTGACCGGCACCCCCTACTGGATGAGTCCAGAGGTGATCAGTGGAGAAGGCTACGGCAGGAAGGCTGATGTCTGGTGAGAGCTTCATTACGTTGGAGGGGATCAGTTCATTACTGCACAAAAATAATAATTGTTCAAACCAAGAAATTGTGCAACTTTTCAGAAAAAAATCAATGAAGATTTATGTTTTTGCAGCAGCACATCTTGATGTTTGTTACTGAGAAGCACCCACTCTTCTGTTAACACAGGGGTGCCCAAAGTGGGGCCCGTGGGCCAAAGTTGTCCCGCCAAGATGTCCTCATTACTATATTAAAATGTCCTTTGAAGTGTCAGTGTGTTTACACTCAGTCATTCTGACTTTAATGTTAATGTTAAATGGAAAATGACTACCTTAATGGCACTATACAGCTGGAGTGGCTTTTTTTGTGCATTAAATCATTCAATTTTACTAATTTATATTTTATTTTGACAGTCTTCCTACAGCTTCCTGCCACTGAAAAACATTTTCCTTTGATCCTGCACTAATACACTTATAAATCACACATAAAGCGTTTAAAAATAGCCTAAATTATAAATATGAACTGGCTTCAGTAGTGATTTTAGCCTCTTTTTGGGGGCTGCTCAAGCACCCCCTAATTTTAAACTCAGCACCTCTGAAAAATAAAACGTTAGGATTTTTTAAGGAAACGGTTCTCAAACCTTAGATTCACCAAAATATTGAATATAGAATAAATGACCACAGCCTCAAATGGGCCAGTAAAATCTGACTTGTTTTACACGAGTCCTGCCACCTGTCAATCAGTCCATCATGTCAGCAACTGACCAATCAGCGACCTCAGTTTGTCCTGAAGTGAACGCCCCTTACCTGCAGAGCTGCAGCTTTGCAGTAATGAGTTTACATCTTTTGTTTCTCGTTAATCTACTGTAATAAACCTTTGTAAAATACAACAAAATGCAGGAAATGGCATCTACTTTATTCAAAACTCTCTGGGGGAGGATCCCCAGATCCACCACCACCAACCTGTTCTGTAATGTTCTTCATTCAGAATTGACGGTTAAATAACTATAATAAATAAATGGACTTTACTTAAAGAAGTATTTGCATTTCATGTATTATTGCATTTGGCCCGCAGCCCTATGATGGATTTTAAATGTGGCCCTCTCAGGGAAAATGTTTGGGCACCCCTGTGTCTGTAAACCTGTAGGACCTGAGGAGACAAGACGTCGGAGTGTTGGGAGGAAATGTCAAATTCTTGTCTGATGGAGGATTCCAGCTGTTCAACAGTCATGGATTGTCTTTGTTGGATGAGAGCAGATGTTCTAAAACCTGTTTATACTTTTCTGCATCATGGGTGCCTTTCCAGATGTTTAAGCAGCCCGTGTCAGAGTCCATAATGCTCCCCCATACCATCAGAGAGGCATGTTTTTGAGCTGTGTGCTGATAACTGACCAGGTGGTCCCTCTCCTCTTTAGGCTGGAGAAGAGAAGGTGGCCTCGGTGGCTTCCACAAAGAATTTACAAGTTTGCTCAATCTGACCTCAGAACAGTTTCCACTTCACCTCGGCCCATTTTAATCGAGCTCTGGTCCGGAGAAGACGTCAGCGGCTCTGGTTGGCTTCTTATTTGCCTGATAGAGCTTTAAGCTGTGGCTGAACTGTCATGAAATCGTTGCATTCTGTTTTAATTTACGGTTTGAACATCGTCCAAACCTTTTCACGGTTAGTTCACGGGGATTTAGTTTAAGGAAATGGAAGGTGTGAATCTGGTGAACAGGTTGAGTCCTGAATATGGAAAGAAGGAAAACACCAGTATCAATATGTCATTTGTTCAGTGGTGGAAACTTTGAACTCCTGAAATTAACATTTTAAATGTGTGTGCAGGAAAGTGCCTGCAGCTGTTGCTGTGATTGGCTAAATGTCTGTTGAGCAGGTACATATTTGGTATTTCTGCCCAGAATGGCTGAGAGCGTTTCAACTGAAAGCATTCCTTCATATCATCAGTTTGGGTATTTAGACCAAATGTGTGGTTTTTGTTTCAGCTTGTTTTGCCTCCGCTTCGAGTTAAACTAAAGCAGAAACGATGGTGCGTGTCTTCTGCAGGAGCCTTGGCTGTACGGTCGTCGAGATGCTCACAGAGAAACCCCCGTGGGCCGAGTTCGAGGCCATGGCCGCCATCTTCAAGATCGCCACCCAGCCCACCAATCCGCTGCTTCCGTCGCGCGCCTCTGAGCAGGCGCGGGACTTCGTCCGCTGCATTTTTGTAGAGGCCAAACGCAGACCCAGTGCGGAGGAGCTGCTCAGACACCCCTTCTCTCAGATCCTGTGCTGCGACTCGTTTGAGTCCTGAACTTCAGCCGCAGAGGCCTCGCAGGCGGACCTGCAGATGTGTCAAAACCAGCGCCGGCCCGCGCTCTTTAAGAGGCTCCACATGAGGGGAACCGCTCATCTGGTAGGATGTTGATCCAAACAGATCTCGTTTCAGCAGCGTTATTGAACCACGACCCAAACGCTCCTGATCTCTTTGTGCAGCTGAGAATTACGACGAAACCTTCAAATGTCTGACAAACGTAAAGCTGGGCGTTCCTTTACGGCTGCAGCAGGTTTTAAGTTTGCGTGTGCTCACAAAAGCTGCATTGTTTCTGATTTTTCAAACAAAAAATATATTTTTTTAAGGTTTAATGGGATTTTTTTGTTTTGTTTGTCCTCAGATGACGTCATTTGCATCGTGATTATTAAATACGCCTCGTTCTCCTCAACAAACTGCAATGCAGAAATATTAATTCTATGAATTATGATTGCATTTCAACAAATATAAGCATCTGGTTCACATTGTTTAAATTAAGCAAGAATATGTGCCGTTCCCAGCTAACAGTGTCGCGTTTAGTTGAAACAAATATGTCTTTTGTTGTTTTGCAAACACTTTCTGAGGAGGTGAATATTTTGTGATAATGGCAGCAGCGCTAATTGTTTAAGTTACATATTTTAAAATATATTTTATACAAAAGAAACTTCATTTTGTGCAGTTTTAAAGTATTTCAGCCCTTTTTTTTTATTAATACAAACCTATAAAGACAAAAACCTCATGACCTTAAATACTAAAAAAATGTAATTTTTGTTGGGAAAAATGGTTTCAAAAGAACTTTTAACCTCTTAAACAAACTCGATGACTCTTCTGTGCTTTTATAACCCGACAAATCAATCATAAATTAATGGAAGTAATTAATTTAGTCAAGTTTCAGAGCAGACAGATCAATCACAGCCAGTTTCTTGTTGTTCTGTTTGTCAGTCAGCAGATGGCGCTCAAGACAATTTAGTCCCATAAAACAATTAAACTTTACTTTTTATGTTTTTCTTCTTCCTAAAACACCAGAAGTTCCTGTGTAAATGATGCATTTGGGAAAATTCAGATGTGAAAAATAAGAACCAAACAAAGTAGATTTTACTTACTGATCTTTTCCTCGTTGATTTGAGTTTTTCCATTTGAAGCACTGTATTCCCTTCTCTTGTAACTCTTCAGTGTCTCTGACAAAGTGCCAAAACTGGGACAGATTAGTAAAAATGTCCACACGATGCTTCTTGCTCCGCGTTGTTAAAAACTCTAACGTGTTTCCTGTTCCGGTGTGTTCGCTCCAAACGTCTTTGACCAACGAGCCTCAAGTTTAGGCTCATTTTCAATCGGATGCACTTTTGTTGAAATTAAACCAAAATGTTCGGGGGCTTTTTAAAAAAAAAAAAAAGTAAATATATATTTTTATTTTTATATTTCCATCAATTTTTTTTTAAAAGTTTGTTAAAGAAAATGACAGGAAGCAGCTGGTTTTTGCAGACTTCATACAGTTAATGTTTTTATAAACGAGCGGAAAGTGAACTCTGGTTTTTGCTCCAGTGCAGATTCTTTTAAATTATTTTAATTTTTTCTACTTCCTTTGTTGGACATGAAAATGACAGTTTAGTCTTGCAGGTTTCAGAAGCTCTGCATCACTAAATCTGCTGTTTAACTATTTGTCTTTTTTTTTTAGGTCTAACTGGTGAAAAGAAACCAGCTGAAGGACATTTTGTCCGATTTCAAACTGTTTTTTTTTTTTTTTTTTTTAAGCGTGGTCAGATTTGGCCGTTTGACCCACACGACGACTTTGTTTACCCCGGGGTTCAGACATGTCCAGTCCTGGGCAAAGCTCTAATAGAATAATGTTTTTATGGGGCTGCTACACTTTAAAGGCAGCTGCAGGACGTTCTGCGTTAAAATAAACTAAATAAATCTGTTATTTAACAAATTAACCCCGGGTTAATCAAATGAACACAAGCTAGCTGTTAGAAACTGTATGTACTACATTATGACAAGACTTGCAGTGCAAAGTCGAATATATCAAAGAATATATTATGTTTTATATTATATATGTATGTTTCATGCCAAATAAATAGATTTTAAATTCAAACGGTGTCTAATTTTTTATGTTTTGCCTGCAGATGTGGCTGTCCCAAACTGAAAGAAAACCGACTGAGCTCTGGAAACTGCCTGATTGATACACTCCCCTCTTTTTTGTTGTTGTTTTTGTTTTTCCTCCCGTTCTCTCTATTTACTCTTTGGCTCGTTGCATGAGGACAAACAGGAGGCAGTTACAGGAAGAAGAGGGTGTTTTTGTCCGTGTCTGCCAGTGTGAGGACTGTAACGAACAAAAGGCTCTGTTGTAAACTGCTGTGATGCAGACTTCCTTTGTCAGGTTTATTTTCTGCTGAATTTATTTAACAAAAAAAAAAAAAGCATAAATGGTTGCATGTTGTAAACAACAACACGAAGGGCTCATGTTCACCAGAGCCCAGCACGGAGCAGAGATGTAGCTTTCGGCTGCATTTAGCTTTAAGCAACGATTTTGCTCATTTGTGCTTTCAGCCGATTTTAGCTTTTAGCTGTTGTTTTGCTTTTTTTAACTAATTTTTTTTTTTTATCGTTAACCATTCAGCTAATTGATTCATCCCCTGCAGGTAATTTCTACATTAGAATCACAAGTTTTTATTTTTTTTTCTGTTTTCAGTGAGATTCAGTGTAAACAGACACCAAACGCCTTCCAGCCTCGGTCTGGGCCTGGACTTTGTGTTTGTAACGCAACGTGAGCGTACAAAATGCAGATGTGTGTGTGTTTGGGCCTCTCCACATTCCTGCTGACCGACGGGACTGGAGCTCCGGGCCAGAACCGGCTCTCTACAGCCTCTTTTTGTAGATCAGCTCTGTTTGGACCTGCTGGTGCCGAGTCGTACAGCGGGCCGCTCTGCTCCAGTTAACACCTTGGTTTTCATTACAGCCCTTCAATGTGAAGCCTCCAAGGTTTCAAAAACATGTCAATTTACAGGGTTCATATCTGAGAAGTTACAATTAGGAATCATTTACTTGCACTCTTACTTATTAAAAAAAAAAAAGCATTTGCAGTTATTATTATCAGACCTCTGCACAGGATATTATTAAAGTAACTCAAGATCATACTAGAAATTATAAAATGTTGACAAAAAACCATTAACTAACTTGCTCCTCTGTGTATTTAGTCGCTTCCTCCTCTTGTTCCCAACTCACCGTTCCACCTGATCCCATGGGTTCCAGAGCCTTCAGCCATGTTGTGTTTCATGATACAACCTGGCTTCACCTGTTGGTACCAGGTTGAGTTATGAAATTACTTTTACCTTCTACGTGCCTTTTGACGTACCCGGTGAGTACCAGTTTGTACCCAAGTACTGGCTGTGTATGGTATGGGTCTTATGACTGGATGGCTTTAACGTTCTTAAATGTTAACGAGAAGAAGAGTCGTGCTTCCACCTACTGTGGTGACCTTTCCTCTAGTCCAGTTACAGAAACAAGTCACTGAGCTGGGAGTGAAACTAAACAACCGTGCAAACAATTGTTAAATCCAGTTGTTTTCAGTTGAGGCGACCGTCCAAAACGAACCTTGAGACTAATACATGCACGAATAACATCCAGGCTTTATTACTGCAGCGTGCTTCTGTTTGGAATCAGTCAGACCTCCATTGCACATTTACAACTGGTTCAAAATGCTGCAGCCCAGTTCTTAACTGGTACAGGCAAAAGAGAGCACTGCTCCGGTTTTGGCCTCCCTTCACTGGCTCCTGGTTCGCTTCCTAAGTAATTTTAAAATACTTGTGCATGTTTTTAAATCTGAACAGTTCTGCCCCCTCCTATCGCTCTGATCTGCTGCAGCCATATGTCCCGCTGCGCTCTCCGAGGCCAGCAGACCAGATGATTTTATTGGTTCCAGGAACTCGTTTTAAGCTCAGAGGTGACAGAACCTTCTCTGCTGCGGGTCCAAGACTGTGGAATGAGTTACCACTTCATGTCAGGTTGGATCCCTCGCTTACTGTTTTTAAGTCTCGTTTAAAACTCACTTTTATTCCCTGACTTGACACTGTGAGATTTGATTTTAACATCTGTATGCTATAACGTTAGTCATTTAGTTCTTATCTTTAGCTCTGTGGATCTGTGTATTTTATCCTGTCATTTGCTTTGTTGTAATGCACTTTGGTTGAAATAGTGGTATGTACAGTATCTGCCAAGTTTCCAGGTATTTATACGTATACTCTGTTAGTGCAGGATGACAAGTCGCTGTAGGTACTAGGCGTGTTCCAGATACGTAACTGGTGTGAAGCTAACTATTTGTGTCCCCTTCTTTGTTTCAATTTAGTGCAGGTATGGATTCATTGAAGGAAAAATGAGCTGAAAGTAAAAACATTCGTCTTAACCTTTACGTCCGCAGGCCTGGATCGCGCTTTAATTCAATCTGTCGGACTCAGGGGGGCGGAGCTGAGACGCCACCATGTTGGTCAGGACTCTGGAATGTGGTCGTGTGGATTCAGCGAAGTTGAAGTACGGTGCTTTAAGCTGGGTCTAAAATGCCAAAACGGTCCGATATATCTGGCAGCTGATATTCCGCCCGACGTCCCTTTTTACCGTTTGTGCTGCTCATGTCGAGCTCATCCATCAGCGGTTTGAATCGGCCCCTCAGTGGCTCCATCAGCAGGGAGGGAGCGGATCCAGAGGACCACGTCGGTGCTTTTACTCTCCTCTCTCTCTGTGGATGCTTAATTATCGGCACATTATTCCCACAGTGACCAGATCTAAGGCAACAGGGGTGATTGTCTGAAAAATCCAGAGAGCCCAAACAATTAGTGTCGCCGTAATGATGTAACCAGGCGGTTAATCTTTAGAGATGGAGCCTTTTAAATCAACAAGTCTCTGCCAGACTCGGTGAGCCATCTTGTTTAACTTCTACGAACAAAGACCAATTGGGATTCAAGACAGTGCGTTGTTTTCTTCTCTTACGGCAGCTCAACACTCGGGCCAGA